ACGTATGGACATGCACATAGTCAGATCTTACTGATGATCCTTTTACCAAGTGTTAGTAAGGCATATGCCATGATAATGGCAGATGAGAGTAAGAGAGTCATTTCGAGCATGCGTACTGGTGGAGATATGACTGAAGCTACAACTCTATATGCAGGTAGAGGGAATTAGTCTAGAAACAATCATTTTGAAGGAGATAAAAACGATTCATCAGTGAATACTGGAAGAGGAAATTACAATACCAAAAATAGAGTGAACTGGAACCTATTTTGTGATCATTCTATGATATATGGTCATACTAAGAAAAACTGTTTCAAACTAGTTGGTTATCCTGAGGACTAGAAGTTCAAAAAGGGTGGACAAGGTGCAGAACCCAACTACAATCAATCTAGAGGAATGAATTCAGCAAGAGGAAAGGGTATTGCTAACAATGTGCAGGTTGAAAAGGGTGATGATGAGTCCAGAAGTGATGTTTTTGGAGCAGTAAACACAAGATCAAACCATGAATAAGGTGCCTATGATTTCCATTCCATTCGCACTAATTTGCAGGCTCTTGCTGCTAGGCCTGACTACACTCACAGTCAGTATAAAAAAATCATGAAGCTATTGAATGAAGAAGAGAATGCTAGAGCTGTAGATATGGCAAACATGACAGGTATTTTTGATGACATAGTCTCATGTTCAGTGTCTAATAGAATATGAGACTATGTAGCTGTCATGAGTGCGAGTAATGATACACATAAAAGAGGAAACAAATGGATAGTTGATTCAGGGACAACATGTCATATGACATCCAATCTAGGTAATTTGGATCATGCTAATGCACATGATAAAATTCTTGGTAAGAGAGTATACTTACCTAATGGTCAAACCACCTTAGTTACTCATTCAGGCAGTTGTGGAGTGTTAGAAAATGTATTGGTAGTGCCTAATTTTAAACATGACTTGCTATCACCATCTCAGCTAACTAGGCAGTTAAAATGTTCTGTATACTTCTTTCCTGAGTTTTGTGTTTTTCAGGACCTCTCCAATGGAGAGGTAAAGGGGATTGGTAAGGAAGTTGATGGTTTATACTACTTTTCAAATCATTTCTCCCATGATGGACCAGATAATGTTGGTGACAAAGTAATGATAACAAAGACTGGAGGTACAAATGACATGGTTTGGCACAACAGGCTGGGTCATCCCTTTGTTAAAGTCCTCAAACAATTATCTTTAGTAGAAAAGGAATCTGATGTTAGGATGTGTAATAATTGTCTTGTATGTCCATTAGCAAAGCAAACTAGGCTTCCATTTCCAATCAGTATATCTCAGACTAGCAATGTGTTTGATCTAATTCATCTTGATGTATGGTGACCTTATAGATTTTCTACACATAATGGTTTTCAACTTTTCTAACTATTGTAGATGATAAATCCAGGATGACCTGGTTATTCCTACTGAAATTGAAAAGTGATGTTTTGTGGTGTGGAAATCTTTTCTAGCATTGGTCAGTAATTAGTTTAAAAGGCATGTAAGTAGGATAAGATCCGACAATGGAACTGAATTCTTCAGTAAAGAATGTAGTGTCATTCTATCTTCTTTGGGGATTATCCATGAAAGCAGTTGTCCACACACTCCACAACAAAATGAAGTAGTGGAAAGGAAGCATAGACATATACTTGAAGTGGCCAGAGCATTAAGGTTTCAAGGGTCTATCCCTATCAGGTTTTGGGGAGAGTGTGTTACAACAATTGTGTATTTGATCAATAGGATACCTACTGAGGTTTTGCAGGAACAGTCACCTTATCAGGTCTTTCACAGTACCATGCCTAAACTTGATCATTTAAGGACAATGGGTTGCCTAGATTATGCCACTACACTTGTTAATGAGGATAAGCTTTCTCTTTGGGCTGATGCTTGTGTCATGATGGGCAATGCACCTACTCAGAAGGGGTATTTGTTATACAACTTGAGTCTCAAGAAGTTTATAGTAAGTAGAGATGTGGTCTTTAAAGAGCATGTGTTTCCTTTTAGTAAGTTACAGGACAAGCACATGCCACGTTTTGTCAGACAAGTGTTTATTGATGATGAGTTTTTACCTGCAGTTACTGAGGTACATGATCTTAATCCTGTTGTTCCTGATGATGGTCATCAACAACCTGATCATGATATAGCAATAGAAGCAGTGGAAGAACATGTTCCCCTGATGGATCAGGCTATAGATTCAGGTGTTCCACATGTTGTGCCATATAAGACTTCTGGCAGAAGTTCTCATCCACCTTCTTGGATGAGAGAATATGTTACTAATGCAACTGATTCTGCTGCACACCCTCATTCATTAGCCAATTACATGACATACAATAATTTGTCTCCTTCTTATCAAGCTTTCTTAAGTGAAATGTCTGCTGAAATAGAACCAAGAACCCATGAGGAAGCTGTTAAAGATCCCAGGTGGGTGGAGGCCATGAAACAGGAGATCACTGCACTGCAGGATAATGGTACATGGAGTGTTGTGAAATTTCCAGCAGGAAAGAGTGTTGTAGGATGTAAATGGGTATTTAAAATTAAGTACAAGGCAAGTGGAGAAGTTGATAGGTTTAAGGCTCGACTTGTAGCCAAAGGTTATAGCCAACCTGAAGGGATTGATTATCAAGAGACATTTTCATCGGTGAAGATAGTAACTGTGAGGACTATTATTACCATTGCAGCTGCTGAAAACTGGGTGATATACCAGATGGATGTGTTCAATGCATTTTTACAGGGAGATTTGATGGAAGAAGTATACATGGAACTGCCTAAAGGTTTTTTTAGTAAGGGGGAGAAACAGGTCTGCAAACTCATCAAGTCATTATATGGTCTCAAACAAGCTTCCAAACAGTGGAATGCAAAGCTCATTGATGCATTGACTAAAGCAGGATGCATATAAAGTCAGCTAGGTCATTCTTTATTTACAAAAGGGAAAGGTTCAACATTGGTGATTGTGCTTGTATATGTGGATTATTTGTTAATCACAAGAAATGACTACAATTTGATACAGGAAACTAAAAGGGTGTTGCACTACTATTTCAAGATTAAGGATTTAGGTGAATTGAAGTATTTTTTGGGCATTGAGTTTTGCAGATCAGCCCAAGGTATTGTTATGAACTAGAGAAAATATGCATTGGAATTGATTTCTGATGCTGGTCTCACAGGAACAAGAGCTTCAACCACTCCATTAGAGTGTAATGTTAAGCTTACAAATGCTGACTTCACTTAAGATGATAATGATGAGTTGTTTGCTGATATAGGAAGGTATCAAATGATGATTGGAAAGTTATTGTATCTGACTAACACTAGACCAGACATAACATTCTCAGTGCAATGTTTAAGTCAGTTTATGCAGAAGCCAAATGTGTCTCATTGGAATGCAACTTTGAGGGTGGTCAGTTACATTAAAGCAGCACCAGGTTTGGGACTACTCATGAGTTTTGAGAAGCAGCCACAATTAGTTGGTTTTTGTGATGCAGATTAGGCTTCCTGCCCAAATACAAGAAGATCTATCACTGGCAACCTATTGAAGTATGGAAACTCACTCATTTCCTGGAAATCTAAGAAGCAACATACAGTCTCTCGAAGCTCTGCAGAGGCAGAATATAGAAGTCTTGCTACACTTATAGCTGAGGTAGTTTGGGTACACAATTTGTTCAAGGAAATGGGGTTCACTATAGATAATCCTGTGACAGCAAGGTTGCAATACAAATAGCAGCCAATCTAGTTTTCCATGAAAGAACAAAACACATTGAAATCGATTGCCACTTTATCCGGGAAAGAATTCAACAAGGATTGATCAAAACTTGCTACATCAACACTAAAGATCAACAAGCTGATATATTGACTAAGGCCTTGGGGAGGTCACAACATGATCTTTTATTGTCCAAGCTTGGTGTCTTGAATCTCTTCAATACATCCAGCTTGAGGGGGAGTATTAAAGTTGGTGACTAGTTAAGTAGTTAATTAATATATTGTTAATTCATTAATGATCAGTTAGTTTCAAAGTTAGTTACAGATTAGTTTGTTAGTAATGTCCAACAACCTGTATATATATGTGCTTTATACCATTCATTGTAATTCACTTCTTCATGTATAAAATACTAGAAGCTTCTTCCTCTTCTCTCTCTGATTGCAATACAACCATAATAGAAAATATAAATAGTCCAATAAATAGTGAATTGCAGCTAATTAGACTTCTGTTTTTCCTTTAGGAGTAAAATTTAACTTTGAAAGCTTTTGAAAAGCAGGTTTCAGAATAAATTTTCAAGGACATTCTATCAAGCAACTTTTATGTATTCAGCAATATCGTTAGAATATATATAAACATTACGTACGAACACATTAATTGCCACTTAAACTTATCGATAAATTTAATTTAAACACTCAAACTAGCCATGGAAGAAAACATAATATTAAATTGATACATAAATTAGTTTGCAATTTCTGGGCGCATGCAATATATCTTCTTTTCTGTTTGTATGCCAAAAAGTAGTCTAAGTAACCTTTTTAACGTAGCCCTCTTGTTGGTTTTAATAAAACAAAGAATTTGTAGGAAAAAAATAAAAATATTAAAGGAATTAAAAAGAAGAAAGAAAACGTATAAAATGAAGTTTAGATCGATATATTTTTACTGCAATTTAAGAATATAATTTATAATAAAACTATTATCTTCTAAACTCAAAAATAAGTAAAAAGATCTGCTGAAAATACTAAACTCCTAAAGAGTAAAATAATATTACTATTCAATTAATGAGAATATTCATATGCATGTCTCCCAGATCCATCATTTATAAAGCCTGGAATATGGTAATTGCTTCTTAATTCACTATTAATTTCCTTGTGGAAGTCTGTAATGTGGAGTTGAATAAAAAAATGTTGTTATTTCTTGTAAATTAATCAGGTGGAGGACAAATATAATCCTAAAACTGGATTTAAAAAGGTAAATATATTAAAAAAGCATAACAAAACTAAGGATAAATATAACTTATTACTGAAAATAAAGAAAAGGTCAAATATGACCCTTTTCCATATTTATTCTTAATACACTCGTGTGCAAAGCATGTACATAGAGATTTTCATGCATCGATAATCTTGGTGAACTCAATATATAGTTCTTTGTTTTATTTTAGTAATCGATATATGACGTGAATTTAAATTAGGCAACGATTGGGAAGGATGCACAAGTTGCAACACCACACATGTTTTTTCCCATCTCCATTTTGAAGTATCCATCCTCACCCCAATCTGCTCCCCATGAGTTCTTTATGAGCCAATAAGGAACACCATTTTCAACACCGTAACCCACAGCAAGAACAGCATGGTTTACGTCCTGCCAATAATGAAACGTACGTACAATCTGTTAGTAATTAACATCATCCTATATATACCAACATGAGTTGTGGTGCACTGGTGGGAGTGCTTCACCCTTAACCAGAGGTCTCGGGTTCTAGCCCTGGGCATGGAGAAAATCCTGTTGGAAGTAGATATTTGAGGTTAATTAATTACCATGGAAGTGTTGCCACATTGAGTGCTGGTGTAAACTCCGCTCTTGTACTGTTTGAAACCATCTATCACCTCAAAAGCAACACTAACAGGCCTAATCAATGCAACTGCATATTTCAGTTCATCTTCAGCACCCTGCAGTAATATATATAATTAGGCATGTTTATTAATTACTATTGATCGATCAGTTTGTGAATGAAAAACAACTCATCATGTTATATTAATTACCTCAGTAATATTGACTGAATCGATGACTTTGACACCAACATTTTCTGGTTTGAATTTACATATGCCATCCTTGGCGGTGTATGGATATGATTCTTCAGTGTCAAGACCACCATTGTATTTAATGTACTCAAACGCATGTGATGGAAGCCCTCCATTGCACCCATGGTTGTCAAAAGCTCCAGCACAGTCCACAAGCTGCTGCTCTGAAAGAGAGATTCCCTCTCCAAATGCTTGGGCATACGCTGCCTCTAGTGCACCAGTAGTGCTGCCAAAACCACACATCCATTTATATACTATTACTCCATCCCTTCCCTTCCCTTCCCTTCCCTTCCTATTTGTATGTCGTCCATTTCATCTAATTATTAGAGATAAGTAATCATCCCCTTCTTTTCAGTTTCATACCTAAACTATTACTATATTCATTCATCTTTATTTGTCATAGTTTCCTTTTTTAGAATCAAATGATAATAATTTTGATTAATATTTTACGATGTATTTTTTTATTATATTGATATGCAAAAAATTGAAATTTATACTACTTTTCGTACATTTTTTGAATATCGAAATTTTTGTTTAAAATATCGAATTAATGTAATCTAATTTAACTTTGAAAATTAGTCAAGTTGACTTTCGAAAAGTGCAACACGATAATTAAAAGTGGACAAAGGGAGTACTTATTAGTTTGAGAAACGCATCTCTATCTTTTATAACACTCTGATCATCATGGTGTGTGTATTATACTCTCTTTTATTTAAAAAAAATTGTCACTCTACATGGACTAAAAATTCCACCTTGACAAAATTTAAATAAATTATTAGTATTACTTAAAATTAAAAATTAAAAAATTATTATCCCAAAAAATAATATTTTTTTATAAAATAAAATGTAAAATATTTTTCTTACCCCACTCCATCACTTCCTCTCACCCTATACCCGTATTCCCCACCCCCTCCCCCCCGGCCGCCCATTTTTTTTAGTTTCTTTTTTGTTTAAATTTCTTTTATAAAATTATTTAATTTTTTTAACTCATCTCACCTTCCCCCTCTCAAAAAAATTTTCTCTCGTTTTGTGTTAGATATATACATATAGAAAATATATTTACTTGTCGTCGCAAGAGATTTTTAAAAATATAAATTTTTTATTTATGTTATATTCGGTACACAAGTAGAAAAATGTACATATCTAACACAAAACGAGAAAAATGTAAAAAAATAAAATAGGAGTGGAGTAGATATTTTTTTAATTTCTTTTATAAAATATTTTAAAAACCACCCATATGAATTTTTTTTAAAAATATTTTATAAAAGAAATTAAAAAAAAAAAGGACGGGGGATTATTGGGGGGGGGGGAGGAGGTGGTGGAGCGGGGTAAGAAAAATAATTTAAATTTTATTTTTTAAAAAAATATTTTTCTGGGAATAGTAATACTTTAATCTTTAATATTTAATTAATATTAATAGTTTATTGTTTAATTTTTGTTAAGGTGGAATATTTTATCCATGTGGAATGTCATGTGTCTAAAGTTTTTTCAAATAAAAGAGAGTGCATTACAGACACCGTTGATGTGTTTCTCAAACTAATAAGTGATAGTTTATGTATGAAAACTAAAAAAAAGAGATAAGTTTAGGTATGTTTTTGACAATTATCTAATGATATTCTCACCTGAATGTCCAGCAAGCTCCGCAGTCTCCCTGTGCCTTCACTGGGCTAACAATACCAATTTCCCTCCAGTCTTGCTATAATCACAAAATTGGAAATTTGCAGTTAAATACATTGCATGTTTAGTGTTAAGTTCCTATGTTTATAATTCAACTCCATTATGCATCTTGGAATATAGTAAAGCATTACGTACGTACGTACAAACTAGTTTCATTAACTCTAATGAGAAATAGTGCAGGTGCCTATTTAATTTCTAGTTAGATATAGGAGAACTCTTACTAATATCCAACCCAAAAATATATAGCAAACTCAGTCACAACAACAACACATTCAGTGAAATCTCACAAGTGATATCTAGAATGCATGTATTACCACTAGCTACCTCGTGAAGGTAGCTGAGTGCAGTGACGGAGCCAGAAATTTCACGAAGGGTGTCCAAAAGTGAACATGGTCTTCTTAAAAAGTGGAAAAAAAATTGCTACTAGAGAGATTCAAACACACGAACACATTAATTTGTGTATCTTTACACTTTCAAGACGCCTAAAATCACTAGACTACATCATATTGTTGTGTCAAGGCAGGGGCGGCTCAAACCCGATGGTGGCCTAAGGCCAAACTCAAACTAGAGGCCTTAAAAAAATTATAAATATTTTTATTTTAAATCTATTTTTCTATTTTTTTAGATGCAAAGTTGTTAATAATTTTTGTGTAGTCAATCTCTTCTAATAATTCTTTTTCAATCGATAATATAGTCAAACCACTTAATCTTTCTTGAGACATTGTCGATCTTAAATAAGATTTTATTATTTTTAATTTTTAAAAACTTCTTTCAGTTGAGGCGACTGTTACGGGAATTGTTAACATTATTCGATAAGCAATGTAAGCATTTGGAAAAGAAT